GGAGTGGTTTCTGACGAGGGGCTTTGGAGGGGCCGCGAGACAGCACACACCTGCCGCCTGCTGCACCTGACCCAGGTCTTGGCCACTCGGCCCCTCCTTCAGCATCCTTGTCTGGCTGCTGGGGGGGCTGAGCATAAGCCCCATTCAGTCCAGATGGTGCCCAAGCAACGCTGCTGCCCGACGCCGAGGCAGCCAGAGCCTCTTCTCTGCCATGTCTGACTCCCTGCAGGGCCCCTACCTGGCTGCAGGAGCTGGCTTACTGGGGGACTGGTCCTGCCTCTGGCTTTAGCTTGCCTGGTATGAGGCCTCAGAGGAAGAGGGAGGGACAGCACGCTGTGGATACCGCGGACACTCAGTTCAGATGCATCGTGAACCAGCCCTTGGCGGTGGTGGTGGTGGTGGGCTATTTGCCTGCCAGGAGGCAAGGAGTCCACAGTGCACACCCTAGGAAGATGGCCAGCTGCTGGCTGGTGGCGCAGAGGCCGTGCCCGCCACCTGGCTCCTCTCTGTCCCCAGCCCACCTCACTCCCCTGGCTAATGACCTGGTTTGTTTAGCTTGGAGGTGTATCTGAGTTGAAATACAGCTTGCTCCAGTGTTCTCTCAGCCTGTCCGGTTCCCTTGCCCAGGCATGGCTCCTGGGGAGGCCCTCTCTTGGTTTTCTTCCCCTGCCTGACTGGAGTCTCAGCTCTTGGTTAGGGAGCAGAGGCCTCTCCTTTCTTCCTGCCCAGGGACACACGGTTGTGATGCCCTCTTGACATTGTGTTCAAGACTCCAGCCCTCACTGTCTCCTGCGAAATCCATACCTCCTGGTTCGATTCCCACCTCCTTCAGGAAGACCTCCCTGTTTGCTCCAGGCCACAATAGCTCTTGCTTCTCTAATCTGCTCACTTCAGCCCTGGTCCGTCCTGTCTCCTGGATAGATCTCCTTGTACAGCCCGGTCCTGCCTCCCTTACCTGGGACCTGCTCCTGAGAAAGGGCCTAGAGGTGTGATAAATGCCTGCCATGCCTTCTCATCACCCCTGAGCCACCAGGGTCCAAGAAACATCCAGAGAGTTGGAGGAATGCAGAGAACCCCAGTTCTGGTGGTTGGATGGCAGGAGCTGGAATTCTGGCTGTGCTGCTTTCTGGCTGTGTGCTCTGGACCAGGTTTTCTAGCCTCTCTGTGCCTTGCTTTGTACCTTAGTTAGTGAGTAGGGCTAATAATACCTGCTCCTCAAGATTGTTGAACTAAACCTACCTGCAGAAGGTCCCAGCCCTTAGCCAGCGCTCTGTAATAGCAGCTTGAATGGAAAGTGAGCACTTCTACCTGCCCAGCGAGGAGGTGGGCGCCCTGAGGAGTATGCCTGGGCTGGAACTCACGCCAGGTAAGGGTGGGACTAGAACCATGGACCAGTACAAGAACTGCCACCCTGTACTCTTGCTGGGGAGCGCAGCTAAGCCCTCTACCTCTTTTTGGACATCTGACACCTGTATCCCACGCCAACTCCTCCAAAAGTGAGACTGGAGCTAACCTCACAGCACAGGGTAAAGCACTGAGCCCCCGGGGCCTGTCAGCTCGGCCAGCACTCCATCAGTATGAGAACAGACCCAGAAGGCTAAAGAGCCACCCCTGCACACACAGACCCACGCCCATCCATGCCCTCCCGGAGCCATCTCCATGTGTGGGCTGATGTGGACAGGGGGCGCTTCTAGAAGGATGAGATGGAACTAGTACCTGGAATCATGACATGACTGCAGCAGGGGAGGCAGGGAGAGCATTCCTCCCGCCCCTGGCCCGAGGCCTCTGCTGTGCCCTGCTCCTATGCGAAGTCAGACTCTGTGGTGTTCATAAACATACGGAAGCCAGGGCCAGAGGCGCAGGTGCCCCAAGTCCTCAGGGTCTTTGGGATGCTGTGTGAACTGGGAACAAAGTTACTGAGGCTGGGCTGCTGAGCTAGGGCTGAGCCCACCTCCCTTCCCTCTGAGCACACTTCCTGCTCCCGCCCCTCCTGCTCCCCCAGCAGTGCCCAGACTCTCCTCAACCCACTTTCTGCAAGGCCTCCCTCCCTCTCTCCTTCTCCTCCTTCACCTTCTGCCTGCTTCTCCCCACACCCCTCTGCCTCTCCCTTCTTTCCCTTTCTTCCTCCCTCCCATTCTCGCCCCACCCTTGCCCTTCTCCCACTCCCCATTCTTTAATCTTTTTGATGATCCCCCCTCACCCACTATCCCGCAGAAGGAGTATTTAACGGCTATTAAATTATTTTAAACGAACTTTCTTTTAAAAAAAATAATAAATAAAGCTTGGGGATCGTGCTGACTCAGGACCCTCTCCCTGTTTAATATTGAACATGCAATTAATAGGTAGATGTTTGGGTTTGACTCTCTTCCCCCTCCCTTTTCCCCTGCAAGAAGAGTAAAAGAGCTGATTAATCTGGTTTGGGGCAAGTGTCAGTGGCAGGAGAAATAGAGGAGAAAGGAGATGAGGTTAGCAACTTGGAGTCAGAGAGCTATCGCCTCCGAGGCAAGTGAAGGGAGGAGAGGTCTGCATTAGAGCTCAGCAAGGCCTGGCGGGCCGAAGGGGTTCTGCCCAAAGTGTCCTGGTTCTGGACACACTGGCTGGACTCTGATTGGCCTGCTCTGCAACTTTGAAGTACCCCTATGCCCTGAGAGGCCTCACTCAGGCCACCCCACTTCTCCAGGTATGGAGTCTCCTCTCCTTCAAGGCTGGGACTGGCACCTTCTCTTAGGCCCTTGACTGCCCCTGTCTCAGGGACTCCCCTCTCTGGGACCGATGGTGGCACCTGCTGTCCAAGCCACCTGTCTGTCCCTTAGAGTTCCCCCTGCTGCTGCTTCCAGGCTGTGCTGCACACTTCGGGGGCTGCAGGTCATCAGTGACGTGGGACCATGGTCTCCGGGCCTGCCTGCTGGCGGCCGTCATAGGACAGGCTGTTGTTCTGCCCTGGGCTTCATGAGCCCCAGGTGAGGGTGGGTGAGGACAGCTCCTCTCGCTGCCAGGCAAGAGGTGGGAGCAGGCAGCATAAGGCAGGTGTCCTGTGCTCACTCAGCTCTCCCATACCTGGGCCATCTTTACCCCTCAACCAAGCAGACCTCAGAACCAGAAACAGAGGGCCGTGGAGTGGAGTGTATACCCTAGGGTGGGGGCAGCCCCTTCAGAGGACACCCAAAGCCCTATGGGTGGGATCTGAATTCCTGCACGGAGGGGGTCCGAGCTATAGAGGCCTTGTGCCCAGTCAGGGTCATGCTGGGGGCACAAAGGAGGGACCCCAGGTCCCAAAGTGAGCAGGCCAGGATGATTGATTCTCCAAATTCGCAAATGGCTTTTGTCTATTTTATTTTTGCTCATAATTTCTTAGTCAATATTTTGGGGTAAGGAGGGTATGGGAGAGGGAACTTCCTCAGTGTCTAAGGGCAGCAAGAGCTGGGACCAGCAGAGGGCGTAATGGTCCCATTGCTGGACTCCCACATAGTTGAATGCAGTTTGAGTCCCAGACCTGGTGGCTTAAAACTGACAGTGGGTGTGTGTGTATGCATGCCTAAAATCCCAAGAGAAGAACAGAGGAGAAGGGATTGTGGTGTGGCCATCCCCCTGGAGAGTGATATCTTGCTTTCTGTCTCTCTGCCTCTGTCTCTTTGGTGAGTACATGCACTCTATAGCAAAAATCTAAAAACAAACAAACAAACAAACAAACAAACAAAAAAGCCAAGGGGTACAGGGCCTTGGCTCGGGAGGGGTGCTGGATGTGGGCACCCAGGACAAAGGAGAGCTGCAAGCAGCTGTCCTATCCTGCAGCCTGGGTCTGTGTGCCGGGCCCACCTGCCCTGTCTGGGTGGTACCTGGGAGGCTGTCCCAATGGCACCTCTCAGGGCAGGAAAGACTCTGATTCCCTGTATTCCTGTCAGTGGCCTCAGGGAGAATACACCTGGATTTTTCCAAACTCTTCCTGGGCAGCTCCTGTTTCTGGGGGAGGCTCCCACTGGGGAAGCAGTGGCCAAGGGCTCTCCTCTTTCTGTCCAGAAAGCAGCTGAGATCAGGGTTCAGGGCTGAAGAGGGCCTGGTAAGACTGAGACCCAGTGTGAGGTGGGCAGGGGCCCAAGGAGGCAGGGCTGTGCCTCGTTCCCACTGGTGTGGCTCACTCTTCCCACAGGTGAGGCGAGGGGCTCTGGGGGATGGCTTTGTGCAGGAGGAGCCAGACGCAGGTGCTGGAGGCCTCATCTGTATTGCTGAAGGAATCATCTTTGCCATCTCCTTTCCCTCTGCTTTCTTTTAAGAAAAGCATGTTTTCTTAGAGAAGCTGATGGGCTCTGAGGCTGTGAAGGTAAGTAGTTCAGCCCTGAAGATGCTATGCAGAGGGAGGCTGTCGCCTGGGGTCAGAGCTGTCCCTCCTTCCAGGGCCGAGCTTTGAGGTGGGGCTGTCCCTTAACCAGGCTCTGCCCAGCAGGACTCAGCCGCCCTGCCAGGTTCTGGGGCATGCATTTGCAGGGGGAGGCCATGTCTCCTCTGCACCTATATAGACGTCCCCCCACCTGTATCTGCCCCCAGTATCTCTCTGGTCTCCCGTGTCCTGCGTCCCCATGGGCAGCCCCTCTCAGGTCTGTCCCCTCTGACCTGAATCTTCCCAGGGCACTGCTGCAATCCTTTCCTACACCCGGCCAGGAACCCTTTCTACTGTTCAAGACTCAACATAGTGAGTGGGCTATTCTTGGTGACTGGAGCTGGGCACACCTTCTTGGGTGTCCCAAAGGAAGCAGGAGGATGCCGTAGGGCACACTGCTTGTTTACTTCGATAGGCATGTTCCCCACCATCTGGCAGACCCCTATCTCTCATCCTTCCCGTCACTCTCCCCACAACAATCACCTAGAGCCCCAATGCCCTGTTCCTAATACCCAGCTGCGGGGTCCCCACGGAGGCTGGAGAGGGAGGCAGGGAGTCGCTGCACCAGGAAAAGAGGGGAAGGGTGAGAGAGGGGTGTGGGGGGCAGAGACAAGTGGGCCCTCACGTGAAGGGGGCTGGCGCAGGCAGCTACTACCTCCTCGGCTCTCGCTGTCCGCGGGCTTCACCTGGATCGGCCGGTTCATCTGCAACAGAGCACAGGGGACAGTGTTACCGCAGGCCTGGGCAGGGGCTGGCGCAGCCAGCTACTACCTCCTCGGCTCTCGCTGTCCGCGGGCTTCACCTGGATCGGCCGGTTCATCTGCAACAGAGCACAGGGGACAGTGTTACCACAGGCCTGGGCAGGGGACAGGCAGCCCACACTCACAGTGTATGCAGGAACGCAGGCACACCCATAGATGCAGAGATGCGCAGCCTCACTGAGGCTCTACCCATGTCACTTGCCCTTTCCAAGGCCTTGTTATTTGAGGAGGGTGTCTCTGGAAATAGGGACCCTGTGGTGCCTCCTCCTTCCACTTTAGGGGGCTTTTGCTAGCCTTTGATATCAGAATCCAAAGTTGACAGAAATGTGTGTCCCTGTCCCTCTACAGCCCACAAAGCCCTCACATCCCCAAAGCATACCTTTGGCCCAGCCCTGCCCTTTCTTTCATGGCTGAGCTTCAAGGAGAGGCTGTGCCTTTTTCAGGCTTTCCAAGGTGAGGCTCAGCCACCTCAAATCACCACAGCTGGCTTTGCTGAAACGATCTGGTCTCTGCTGCAGATGGCTCCTGCCCAGGCCGGTGCATGGCACCGAGCTCCACCCAACCCAGGCCATCTTGCAGAGGTGGTGTGTGTGGGTCAAGGGTGCTGAGGTCTGGGCCACTCAGCTCTGAGTCTGGAGGAGAGCTCAGGACTGGGGGGTGGGCCACCCTCAGGCTGTCCCCTCAGAGTGGGCGTAGAATGGACACAGTTACTCATTTCCTGGGGGTCCTGGGTGCCAGGAGGCCAGAGGGATGCGGTCTGACTCCCCTAGCCTGCCAGCTGCCATCCTTTCTCTGGGATCCATGTCAATAGCCCATTCAGGCCACTAGGGGTCTCTGAACTCCGAGTTTCCGGGCTCCTGAGCCTGCCGTCAACCTTTGCTGGAGGCTCCAGGGTGAGCTTTCAACCCCGCCGTCACAGCATATTTAAACAATAAAAATGGTAGGAATCGCGCCGATCGGCCCGTACTTCGGATCTGTTGCCAGTGCTTTTGCCTGTCACGCACCTCCCACTACCTCACTGCACTTGCATTTCTCTCACAAACAGACCCTGAGACAAATGCAGGACAGGCATGAACGCCCCCATTTTAGAGATGGAGACGCTGAGGCAAAGAGAAGTCCTTGTACTTGCCCAGGCCACCCTGTGGCAGGACCAGGCTGGGTCTGCCAGAGCTATTTTTGTGCTTCTGCCCTGCACCTTGAGACTTTCTGTTGCCAATTCTCCTCCCCTACAGGGGCTGGACCAGCCAGTCACAAGCTTCCTCCTGTCTTCCGGTCTAGGATTCGAAGTCAGTTTTGGCTGCGTCAAGATGACGAGGTGGGTGTGTGTGTCTGGGTCTGTGACTCAGCAAGGTGAGGACGAGGCCAGGGGAAGGGCAGAGCCACAGCAGGGAAGGACAGAGACAGGAGGCGGATGCAGAGCAGTCAGGAAAGGAGGCACAGGTAGCCACCCAGGCCAGTCTACAGAGAGGGACCAGGATGTCACTGCTTGCCACCAGGTCTCCAGTTGGTACCCCCTGAGGGACACTCCCCCTGGACTTGAGGGATAGAAAGGTGCTCTGTATGCTTTGCAAGTAAGCTCTGGCAGCAGAGGAAATTGTCCTGTCCCAGCAGACTCCACTTATAGGGAGAAGGAAGAGGGACACACCAGTTCCTTTCCAGGCCTTGAGGGAATGGTCCAGAAGGCCAACCAGGCATCTGGCTATGATCCAGGAGAGAGCCAGGTTACTGCTGACTTCCCAGCTGATGCTTTCTGGGACTAGGCTGCCCTTTCCTCCTTGATACCCCAGCTTCCTAGTCTTGCCCAGAAACTAGAATATTCTTTTACCCTGGAAACATCCAGAAGACTGACCTGGACCCACGATGGCTGCTGGAGCCTGCTGGACATATGTCTATAGCTTGCTTGCTTATGTAATTTCATAATTCTCAGAGGAAGGGGTGATTATCTCCATCTAACAAGGAAACCAAAGCTCCAAGGAGTGGCAGGTCTAGGATTCTGTCAGGATAGGTTCTATGCTAACTACACAAGGCAATTGGCCTTTCTGTATTGTGTCATCTGATGCCAGCTGCCCTGGAGGAGGGGCCCAAGGAGGAGGTAGGTAGGGAAAATGTCCATCTGGTAAGGGGGATTTGGGACCACATTCTTGGGGCCATCAAATTGGGTATACCCCCTTAAGACCACACCCCCCATATCTGGCCCCACTTCCTCTTGTACCCCTACTGCCCAGCATCTTTCTCCCCCAAGTCTGCTCTCTGGGCCTGCAAGCTCCTCTCCCTAGCTTCTTGCTCGTGATCTTCCATTCTTTGAGGCTAGTCCAAGGGCCCCCTGTTATAAACCAGAGTGTCCCTTCTAATTTGCAATGACCTATATTCGAAGATAGAGCCCTTAAAGAGGTAATGAAGTTATAAGGGAGGGGTCTTGATCCAACAGGACTAGAGTCCTTATAAGAAGAGGAAGAGACACCACTGACGTGTGCATAGAGAAAATGCCAGACGAGGGTTCAGCAAAAACGGTGTTGTCTGCAAACCAGAAACATCTCACCAGACACCAACCCTGCCCACACCTTGAGCCAGTCTACAGAGAGGGACCAGGATGTCACTGCTTGCCACCAGGTCTCCAGTTGGTACCCCCTGAGGGACACTCCCCCTGGACTTGAGGGATAGAAAGGTGCTCTGTATGCTTTGCAAGTAAGCTCTGGCAGCAGAGGAAATTGTCCTGTCCCAGCAGACTCCACTTATAGGGAGAAGGAAGAGGGACACACCAGTTCCTTTCCAGGCCTTGAGGGAATGGTCCAGAAGGCCAACCAGGCATCTGGCTATGATCCAGGAGAGAGCCAGGTTACTGCTGACTTCCCAGCTGATGCTTTCTGGGACTAGGCTGCCCTTTCCTCCTTGATACCCCAGCTTCCTAGTCTTGCCCAGAAACTAGAATATTCTTTTACCCTGGAAACATCCAGAAGACTGACCTGGACCCACGATGGCTGCTGGAGCCTGCTGGACATATGTCTATAGCTTGCTTGCTTATGTAATTTCATAATTCTCAGAGGAAGGGGTGATTATCTCCATCTAACAAGGAAACCAAAGCTCCAAGGAGTGGCAGGTCTAGGATTCTGTCAGGATAGGTTCTATGCTAACTACACAAGGCAATTGGCCTTTCTGTATTGTGTCATCTGATGCCAGCTGCCCTGGAGGAGGGGCCCAAGGAGGAGGTAGGTAGGGAAAATGTCCATCTGGTAAGGGGGATTTGGGACCACATTCTTGGGGCCATCAAATTGGGTATACCCCCTTAAGACCACACCCCCCATATCTGGCCCCACTTCCTCTTGTACCCCTACTGCCCAGCATCTTTCTCCCCCAAGTCTGCTCTCTGGGCCTGCAAGCTCCTCTCCCTAGCTTCTTGCTCGTGATCTTCCATTCTTTGAGGCTAGTCCAAGGGCCCCCTGTTATAAACCAGAGTGTCCCTTCTAATTTGCAATGACCTATATTCGAAGATAGAGCCCTTAAAGAGGTAATGAAGTTATAAGGGAGGGGTCTTGATCCAACAGGACTAGAGTCCTTATAAGAAGAGGAAGAGACACCACTGACGTGTGCATAGAGAAAATGCCAGACGAGGGTTCAGCAAAAACGGTGTTGTCTGCAAACCAGAAACATCTCACCAGACACCAACCCTGCCCACACCTTGATCTTGGACTTCTAGCCTCCAGAACTGTAAGATATACATTTCAGTTGTGTAAGCCACACCGTCAGCCATGTTTGGCTATGGTACTCCTAATTGATGAATAAAACACCCCATCCATGAAGCTTTGTTGGTACCCAATGGGGAAGGCTATTCCAGGGAATTCTCCCTTTTCCATAGTGAAGGTACACTCAAGGTTGGAAATTGACTCGAGGCAGGTGGGTGACTCAGTAGCCCAGGCCCCCAAAGGGTGCACAACATTCTTGAGAACATGACAGCTGTACATACCTTATATTGTTAGATTGTCATAACTTCTATGCTGTATATAAATAGATTATCTAACTTCAATCAAGGAAATAAAGTTGCAGAGAGGTTAAGAAACCAGCCTGAGATACCTAAGTGGTAAGTACTAATACCAGGATGAAGTCAGGACTCCTCAAATCTGCCTATGTGCTCAGAAGGTGCTGGCAACCAGGCAGGATGGCTTGGGACGACCCAGGAAAGTTCAAAGCAACATAGTAGGGGGTGAGGAGGGGAGTCGGGGGCCGGGTGGCACATTCAGACCACCCCGGCAAGGATGGGGTGGAGGGTCTGGCTGGGAAGGCAGACAGGTGTGTGTGTGACCCAGACTCAGCTGGGCACCACCCTTGTGTCACAGCTGGGGTATGCTTGAGGAGAGGAGGAGGGGCTAGCCCCTGCACCTCTGCTCCTGGGCAGAGCATGGCCAGTGGGCCCCTTGTCCTTAGGACCCATGCAGGAAGGAAGGCAGGGCCTGATGGAGAAGACAGACACCTTCCCTGGCACTGTGTTCTGTATGCCAGTCTTCTCTAGATGGGCCTGAGAGCAGTTGGGGTGAGCCCGTGAACCGGCAGGGCCTGGAGTAGAGCTATTCCTGATACAATGGGCCTCATTTTCCATGGTAAATTAAACAAGAGAAACAAAACCTTCCGGGGCATAGAGGCTCCACTCCACCCCACCCCACTTGCACAAGCAGGCAGGCCACTCTCCGTCCGCTGTCCTTGGTACTTGGGGGCTGGGGATGCTCTGCCCCCTGCTCTCTGACTTGGGTCTGTGCCCCTCTCTGGGAGCCCTCCCTGATCACACCAGCCCTGACAGCACCTGCAGAGCGCCTTTAAGCCTCAGCGCTGTGCTCTCCCACGCCCCACAGGGCCCTCCTCTTCTCTCCACTTTCACTGTGGGCTCCTTAGTGTGAGAATCTGGGGTCACATCCACCTTCCCCCTGCCCTGGGCCCTGAGTTGGGCTGTCACGGGGTG